TGCTTCCTTGCAAGCGCAAGGGCCTGAGTTCAATCCCCTGTTCCTCCAAAAAAACCAAAAACCAATTATATATACTTTTGGGTTTCTCAGGATTTGTTGATTTTTAATTTTTTTTTTTTTTTCCAGAACCAGGGATTGTACTCGGGCTCCACTGAGCCCTCTCCCTGGCCCTCTCAGGATTAGTTGAAATACTCATTAAGTATGTATTATTTTATGGTCTGTATGGTGGGCATGCCTTTAATCCCAGCTATTTTTGAGATTGAGGTGGGAGGATCTCAAGTTTGAGGCCAGCCTAGGTAATTTAATGAGATCCTGTTGCAAAATAGAAAATAAAAAGAAATAAATGTTATAGTACCTCTGGGTTCAATTTCTAGTGCAATAAAAACAAAAAAATGTGAAAGCTTCAAACTGAAAAAAATATTAATGGTAGGAGGAAAACATGGAAAGGTATAAAACTCACTTGTAAAAATATATAAATACAGAAAGCATGGTGTATAAATGATTTGATCTTTAGTATCAAATCAAAAATGAAAAAAATTAGAGAGTAGAGTAACTACATTAATATATTAAGAGATAGATAATATAGAGGATATAATTTGGATGTCAAGTTTAAAATGTGCCACTTTTTACCTTTTGGTGAAAATCAGGTGTTGTGTTTGTGCTTGACAGCTTACTATCTGATATGTTCTCTATCTAAAGATGGAAAGGGACATATTATAGCTGACTCCAAACAACTACATTTTTTTTTTTTTTTTTTGTGGAACCAGGGATTGAACTCAGGCCCTTGCGCTTGCCAGGGAAGCGCTTATTCCACTGAGCCATCTCCCGGCCCCCAAACAACTATATGTTAACAAATTTTATAACCTAAAACTAATTCTTAAACATATTTACAGCTTATGAAGACTGAATTATGGAGAAGAAATAGAAAACCTATATAGACTAAAAGCAAGATTGAATTAGTAAAAAAGGGGCCTGCCCCTTAGCACAGTTTTAAAGTGGCTGCTTCAACAAAGTAGTCAGGCTCAGGTTGCTGTGGTTCGATCCCCACAACTCAAGCCAGCCAAACCTGCCCTGAAGGCATTGGTGGGGGGGAGAAAAGAAAATCCTTCTGAATTAAAATCTCTCAAAGAAAAGCCCAAGGTCAAATGGCTTCATTGCTGAATTCTGTCAATGATGTAAGGAAGAACTAATGTCATTTCCTGAAGTTATTCAAAACAGAAGAGAAATTTCTTTTAAACATATTCTGTGAGACTGTAATAGCAAATCAAGATAAGAACACAGCAACAAAATACTAGCAAACCAAATCCAATAGCACGTTAAGATTGTTTACTGTGATTAGGTGGTACTCATCTAAGGGATACAAGGAAGGTTCAGTATATGCATATCTGTAAATATATAGGGCATCAATGGAATGAAGGACGAAAACAATATGATCATGTTAATAGATGTAGAAAAGACATTTGATAAAATTAATTCATAATAAAAATTCTGAGGGGCCGGGGAGATGGCTCAGTGGAATAAGCACTTGCCTGGCCTGAGTTCAGTCCCTGGTTCTGCCAAAAAAAACCCAAACAAAAAAAAGCAACCCGAACAACTCAGCATACCTCAACATAATGTCCATTTATTTTTATTTTTATTTTTTAAAAAATTTTATTTATTTATGTGTGTGTGTGTGTGTGTGTGTGTGTGTGTGTGTGTGTGTGTATGGCCAGCTCAGCCCACCAGGGGGCGGGGCTGGCTGGCATGTGGTGCTGGGGGATTGAACCGCAGTCCCTGTGCTTTGCTAAGCTTGTTCTAAGTAGGTGCTTTTTTAATATCTGGAACAAGACCATGATTTCCCCTTTTCACTCACTACTTTTTCTTTGCATAGTGCTGGAAGTCCAAGCTAGAGCAGTCTGTCAAGGGAAAGAAAGAATATACAAATGAAAGATAAGTCAGATTGTCACTGTTTTAAGGCGGCATAATATATATAGAAAACCCCCAAAATGTAAAGGCTAAGTTGAAAAAAAGTTGCAGGATCTAAAACCAATATATAAAATAAGTAAAATTTTAATACACCCAACAGAGTTGGTGAGAAAGAAATCAAGAAAGCAGTCTCATTCAGAATTAAGGAAAAACAAGCACCCCTCTACCTCTAACAATAACAGAAAGGCTCTGTCCAAAACAAAAAAGCAAACAA